CCCGCCGCTGCCCGACACCCGGGAGGCCGCGCCAGCTCGCGGGAGAAGCAGAAGCCGGAGCCGCGGAGTAGCAGGCCCGAGCCGACCGCGCCCGGGACCGGACGCCGCGCGGAGAAGGTAGTCTTGGCCGGGGGGGGGGGGGGGTCGCGGCCTCGGAGGCTCCTCAGAGCAGCCGGACTCGGGCCCACGCCGCGGCCAGGCCGGGACCTTTGTGTTGGGCGCTGGGGGGCGGCCGCGGCGGGCGCGCTGGAGGCCGTGTGGGCCGCTGGGGAGGGGCGCGCCTGTTCTCCCCGCGGGCCGCGGGATTCCTGCCTTCGATCAAGAAGGGAAGCCCCGGCCGGCGCCGCCTCCTCCCCGCAGCCCTCGCGGACCTTCCGTCCCCTCCCCCAGCCGCCCCCTTTCCTGTCCTGCCCGGCCCCCTCCCCGCGGCGTGGGCGGCGGGAGTTCCGAGAGCTGGCCGTAGCTGAAGGGTCGCCAGCTTGGACTCGGTCACGTATAGGGTGGGGGGAGGCCCGAGGACCAGGGTCATAACTAGCTTTTCAAACACCTGCCGTTATCGCGACCCTTGCCTTCCCTGCGGTCAATGTGCTAAGCCCCGCGCTGCGCTCGGGTTTCGGATCCGCCGGCTTCGGTGAGCGCAGGTGAGGAAGCGGATCCAGGCTTCCGGAGGACTGGACGTTTTCCTCTCCAAACCGAGGACTTTGAATGAAACTTGACGATTTATATCCCTATGAGTCGGAATCGACTGGACAGCAGTGGGTTTGGTTTTTTTTTTTTCTTTTTTCTTTTAATGGTCTCTACTTTCCACTGCTGGCTGCTTTTCCTTTGAGCAACGTTAAGCCTAGTAATTAGCATCAACGTTCAGGGGAATTCTTTTGGCGCAGTGGAGCTCTGGTGGTGTAGTGGTTAAGAGCTTGGTTGCTGCGCAAAAGGTCGGCAGTTCAAATCCACCAGCAACTCCTTGGAAACCATATGGGGCAGTTCTGCTTGGTTCTGCAGGGTTGCTGTGAGTCGGAATAGACTCCACGGCAATGGGTTCTGACTTGCAGGAGTCGAGCCCTAGCCTTCAGTGCACGTGACATGGGATGGGTGGTGGGATAGGCCCCAGACAAAAGTTGGCATGGTAGGGCCGTTAGGAAAAGAAGGCGCGACCTTGGCATGCGTTTTTTGACATAACGGTGTTTATAAGCACAACAGACTTCAGCACACCGAGGAGGTCGTGTCTGCAGAGGGCTGGTTGGTAGCCCGCGTGCGACACTGGGCTCCGCGAGGATATGCTGCCTGCCCCTCCTGGTGTCTCAGAGAGATTTAGTGCCCGACCTGTGCCTAATCCTGTTTCATTACGTGTCATTTCTTATGCTGTGGGTTACCGCATAACATAAATAGGATTTATGAGCGCCTCAATATTTAATGCCTAAACAGTGTTTATTTCAGCAAATTTGTGGTTTTGAGTCAGAACCTAGCACTAGTTTTTATGATTATCAGTAAATAACACTTTGTCAACTACCATTTCCTTATCTGTAAAATAGGAACAAGAATACTTCGTTAATAATTGTTTTAATCATAGTGAGTGCCATGCTCAGCTTTAGGTGCTTTATATGAATTGTTTTGTTTAATCTTGGAAACAGTGCTATGAAGTAGATACTCTGTTTATCCCCATCTTACAAATGAGGAAACAGAGGCACAGGGACATAAGTAATTTGCCTGTGGTCGCTGTCTTAAGTGAGTTTAGCTCCAAAGCCAATGTTTGAACCACAAGTGATCCTCCATAACTAGAGTATCTTGAAAATCAAATATAATGTAAAACATCTGGCATAGAGTAGATGCTTAATAAATATTGACTCTTTTTCATCCTCTCAGTATTTTTTATTATTCTTTATTATTTTGATGGTATAAAAATAACAATTGCTGAATGAATTTTGATTAAACATTGTTCTTTAACTGCATATGGCACTTGCAGTAGGTTGTACAATAGAGCACTTTTAGAAATGATTAAGGATTTTAGTTAGAGGTTACTTATCCTACATTTGTGAACATCAATCCCAGAAAGGACGGGACTTAAGACTCCCACTATAGTGCTCAGCTTTTTAGATAATTTTAGTTTACTGATCAATATGAAATGAATGACTGAAGATGATGGATAGAAAACAGATCAAATACATTAGTGTTTTGGTTACAGGCATTTGGGGAGAAAGCTATTGTACTCATCCAAAAATTCAGTATAAAGTGGAAGATGTTATTCGAATACTAGTTAGAAATACAGGGAATGTGGTTAATACTTTACTTCTGTAAACAGAAAGCACATAAACTCCAAATTAAGTCATCTATGTTGACTTTACAGACTTAAAATTGTAAGTGTTCGTGATGGTGATTTTTTTTTTTTTTAACAGAATGTTAAGTTCTATATTAAGGTTATTTCCTAATCTCTCTAACATTTTGCACATGAAAAATATGGAATCAGCAGTTTTGAAAATCACTGGATTATAGTAATTTTAACAGTCAGGTGACTTTCTTTTTAACTTTCTAGCCAATATAGTTGAATTCTGCCCCCAAATTACCATCACTGAATGCAAATGCAGTTCTGCATTGGTGTTGATAAATCCTAACTTCAGAAGCCACTCTGGGGACATGTGGTCACTTTATAATAATAAAAATTAATCAAACAGTTTAACGTGAGTGCTGGTTTTTCTAAGAATGCTTACCACCTAATGTAATATCTATAGTTTGGCTTCTTGCCAAATTGTGGCTTCCAGCATGAGGGAAGAGTAGTATAGCGTTCTACCAGAAGTTTGTCTTTACTGTTCTGTCAAGTGAGCTGGTTTGCTCTATAAACTACATATGCTGCTAGAGAGATGAGTTAAAACACATTTTGTAACTGGTAAAAGTTTCAGAGAACTTGAGTTCTGAGAATTTACATTTCTCAATCTGTAACAAGCTAAATTGTATCTGAGAGAGGATTCTTACGGACTGTCATTAATTTTTAGATTTCCCCACTCAACATGGAGAGTTAGAACCGATCAGCCTGTGGGCGACTTTGGGCACATCGCTGGTACAGTATTAACTCTTAAATGAACCGGTCTTGCGTCTGTGCACTAAGTGACATCCTTCCGATTTGAAAAACACAACAAAAACTTTTGGAATATTTACTATCGACATATCTTAGAAAGTACTATTCAATTAAATGGAACAGATTTTAAGATGATGATTAAACTCACTGCTTCCTGTTATGTTGAATTTTTTTTTAACAGACTCATTTGGAGGAAAAAACATTAAAATGACTTCTTAACTCAGCAGACAAGTGACATAGCTGCTTGTATTTCTAAAACTCTTTCTTTGATTTCTGTTGTTCATAGTGTAGGTATTTGAAACTTTTATTATGCTCTGCCTAGCTTTAAAGGATGTACTATGTATCTTTACCTTATACTCCCCTAAAACCCCTACTTAGGGGCCATTTAAAAAGTATTTTTACGTATTTAGAAAAGGAAAGCAGAAGCTGCCTTTAAAACTTTTAATCTGGTTTTCTCTTTACTGCCTTTATGCTTTCTTCCTGTAGACAGATCAGAGCCTCATGGTTAATTAACCCCAATAAGTTGAGTAACTCAACTTGCCGAGGTCATTTTTAAGTTCATAGGCTATAAGTGATATATTTAATATAAAAATGTTATAATGGAATCCTAGAGGATTATATTGTGCAAATATGTAAATATCTCTTGTAATGGCAGTGTCTTTTCTGACTTTGGTTACATGTTGTGGGATATTTGTCTTTTTTCTTCCCCCTAGAGGTAGGAATCATGGGGTAGGGAGGAGGATGGGTTGGCAGATAAGGGTAGGGAAGAGTTAATTAGTCTTCTGAGTCCGGAAATGGTAGCAGTAGCTATAGCTGTAGAAAACCAGAAGAAAAGTATGTGTACCTAGATTAAAGGAGGCACAGTCAGATTTATTAGCAGCCTTTGAATATTTTAGTAGATAGCTGAAAAAAATGTAGTATCTCTTTTTCAGGAACTGTATGCAAAAGGAGCCAAACTATACTTTGTAAATTTCTCGTCTTTTCAGTGGTGATTAATTATAAGACTTACAGGTTAGGTTTTAATTATAATATAATGTGGGATTTTAGAAGTTGACTACTTTTAAGCTTTATTTTTGGTTTTTGGCTTTAGAAGATAAGGTTAACTATGTTTAGCAATATTCTAAAGCATGTATATCATCTTAATACGTAAGTGTGTGTGTTTGTGAAGAGAAACTTTTAAACATACATACATATGCATGCAAAAGTTGGACAATGAAAAAGGCAGTTGTATGATGCATTCGGATTGTGATACTGGCAAAGAATATTGAACATACTGTGGACTGCCAAAAGAACGAACAAATCAGTCTTAGAAGAATTACAACCAGAATGATCCTTAGAAGCAAGGACAGTGAGACTTCGGCCCACTTATTTTAGACACGTCATCAGAAAAGACCAATCACTAGAAAAGGACATCATGTTTGGTAAACTGTAGGGTCAGCAAAAACAAGGGAAACCCCCATGAGGTGGATTGACACAGTAGCCACAACAGCGGACTCAAACATACCAATCAACATGAGGGTGGCACAGAACTGAACAGTGTTTCGTTCTGTTACACATAAGGTCACTATGAATTACAGCCAACTGGATGGCAACTAAAAACAATAATATATATGTATATACATACATGTATGTGTGTATATATACACACAAATGCACGTGTGTGTGTGTGTTATATATATATCATACACATACAAATACACATAGGACCAATATCATTATACAAAGTCTTTAAAGCAAGTGGTTCCTGTCCCCTAGATATGTAAAATGATGCATTAGAGTGCAGGAAGAAAATATTAGACTTTATGTTATTTTTATTTTTTAATCTCATTTTTGAAGCTTAAACTTCTTACTTTCACTTACAGCATCTTACTATATTGCTGTATAGAAGTACATGTATTTTATAAATAAATGTGCACATATTTTGGGGACATGTGTGCTCAGAAGTTTTAATGGTAAAGATGAGTGATCAAAAAGATTTAGAGATCCCTGGTATAGAGGATGATTTTGGTGGAGGTACAAGAACTATGTTTAGGGGGAAGAATTGATAAGACCTGGTGTCTGAAGTAAGAGAGATGAAGGAATCCAGCTTGACACAGGTTTGTAGGTTAGGCCCCTAGGTGGTGCCATTTACCAAGATAGGCAATATGGCTGCAGGGGTGGTGTTCCTTGGGATTGGAGGCAGAGGAAATGATGAATTTAGCTGCTGAGGTTTTTTTTTAAGGTGACAGTGGGACTTAAGATGTCTGGAGTGCAGTTGGATACACAGATTGGGAGCTAAAAAAAAAAAATGTCTGGTTTGCAGATTGAGATTTGAGGATTCTTAGTCTATAAGTGCTAGTTAAAGCTGTAGGTTGTGGATGAAGACACCGAAAAAGAATGTGTAGAGTGAGAAAGGGGCTGGGAAAAGAACCTGGGAAAACATCAGTCCAGGGGAGTGGATGGAGGAAGAGAAGTCTGGAAAAGAATTGCCTTTCCTCAGTTTCTTCTCTGAACTTCTAATTCCTTTGACATTTTCATTTTCATTTGCAATTCCAGTTGACCTTTTAATGGGTGACTTGGGTATTTGTGAGTTTTTCCTGTGATTGGCATGTTTGAGGTAAGGACAAAAAAGACGAATAGTTCACATCCCTCTGTGGTAATTTATCTTTAGACCTGTTATTAGAGACGCAGTTTGATATACTAAAGGCTTCTCCACCTGGAGGAGGGAAGCATAGGTTTCAGTGAAGCCTGCTGAATATCTGTGTGACTTTTGTCAGAATACTTCATCTTCTAAGGCTTTGGTTTCTGCATGTATACTATAAATTGGTCTCTAAGTTCCCTTCATTCTAACATTCTATGAATTAAGGATAGCTCTTGAATGATCTAAGCACTGTAGAATGCAGCTCTTCTCTTTCTCATTCTTCCTTTGAAGAAAACTTGCCAGTGCTGACCAACCCAATCTATCACTATCCCTTCTTTGTCAGGATGTAGTTCTGTTGTACATGATGTTTTAGTCTAAAGTGTATGAGTAAGTACTAGTTTCCTGAAAATGCTGTGCTTAGTGGGTGTACATCAAGAAATTAACATGATTCCTGCTGTTGATTGTATTCTGGTTGGGGCAGGTTGTGTTCATTTTAGAGAACCGTATAACAAATACCAAGGAATTTTTTTTATGATGTTCTGTGCCAGATAATATACTCTAATGGTTTTCCAGAAAAAGATGAGTGTTGGCTTAAGTGGTTTTGGAAGGCTTTGTGAAAGGAAAGGGACCTGAGCTTGAATGATATGAGTGAAGATATGCATGACAGATGGATGACATAATTAAAGGACAGTATAGTTAGAAGATGAGGAGGCCTGGTAGTGCTGTGGTTAAGCACTCAGCTGCTAACTGAAAGCTAGGCAGTTCGAACCCACTAGCCACTTCACAGGAGAGGTATGTGACAGTCTGCTTCTGTAAAGATTTATAGCCTTGGGAACCCTATGGGGCAGTCAGTTCTACTCTCTCCTATAGGGTTGCTATGAGTTGGAATCGACTTGATGGCAACGGGTATAGTTAGAAGGCAGGGTGAGAATCTAGTCTCGTTTAGCAAGTATTATTTGACCACTTTGTAACCAGTTAAGTATTACGTGTATATATTTAAATGTGAAGGATATATAAAATGAAGGTCTGGTTTCTTATCTTCAAACTCTAGTCTCATGAGACACACAGACAAGTATACAATTCTAATAGAAGTTTAAATAAAAGCAACACTATATGATTGAATATCACTGAAGGTTTGTCATGTA